AAAGTTAGTGACTACCAGGTGGTGAACACAGAATTCTTTTTGTGCCCACTGTCACGCCATCGCCAACCAATTCGAGCGCTAACACCACAACTCTGCCTTCCCCTCCTCAGCAACCACCACAGCTGCCACGTCAGGTATAACTAAAACCACTAACTCTGAGCTCACAACCTGCGCCAAAGTCTGCCTTTGATGCAGCCAGGTTCTTTGGAGGAATTGTCCTTTCTTGGGTGTGTAGGCTGTAATTTTCTTTCTCTATAGATTCTGCAAATCTAAAAGACAAAACTAACATACTCTGTGGGCTTCCCTGGTGACTCAGATGGTAAAGAATCTGCCTGCAATGTGCAAGACCCAAGTTTGATCCCTGGGTAGGGAAGATCCTCTGGAGAAGGGAATGGCAACCCATTCCAGTATTCTTGCCTGGAGAATTCCATGGACAGAGGAGACTGGTGGGCTATAGTTCATGGAGTCACAAAGAGTTGGACCCGACTGAGCGACTAACACTAACCCCACCTTCTGAAAATAGACCTGCTAAATTAACAAGGGCTAGAGTGTAACTCACTGAAACCAAAATATCATCTTTCAATATGTCCCACATGGAAGATGCTATTCTGGGATCTTTAATTTTTCAAGGGATGCATATAGGAGCACTGCTCTTGAGGAAAAATCAGTTAAATAATTTTGCTTAAGGGGAATATCTAAAGTACTCTGCATGAATATTTGTGGCTTCTTCTTTTACCTTAAATGGCTGCTGCTGTGGGATTAGATTCTCTCCTCCTGACATGCCAAATGTAACTCTGTAAGTGATGGAAAACACTGTGCTGTTCAGACAACCTCATGACCCTTCTGCAGGTGCAGTGAAAGTCACTTAGCTGTCCCTAGGCAAGAATACTAGAATGGGTTGCCATAACCTTTTCCAGGGGATTTTCCCAACCTAGGAACCGAAACTGGGTCTCCTGTACTGAAGGCAGGGTCTTTACCATGGAGCCAGCACGGAAGCCCAATATTGTAAAGTAATTAGCCTCCAATTAAAATTTTTTAAAAAGTAGTTATTTTAAAGCCTGAAAGATGCATTATTTTTATTCGAACTCAGGATGTACTTTAGTGACCATAATTGAGAAGAAGGTTCTAAATGAGCATCAATCAGGTGGATTTTTGGCTATCATTTAAAAAGTGGAATAAATTTAAAAATTTAGTATCCTTAGAGTAAACTTTTGTGCTTGATAACAGTTATTTTTTTCTACATGTATAAAAGATGCCAGATTCCAGATTTAAAGAAATGAATGGAAAGGACAAAAAATAGTAAAGTATAACAGATTATTGTTCATACTTATAAAGCACTTTGTATCATTTAGAAATTAAAGAACAAGGCCTTAAAGTCTAGACTTAACCTAAAATGCTGGTGATTTGCTATTTCACATTAAAGAGGGAAAAGTTGGTCTGAGGATGTAACTGTTGATGTGGGCAATAAAAAATCTGCTCTAAGATACTACACTGTCAGTATTTAACTGAAAACTTACCTACTTTATTTCAAGCCTGAGTAACTTAAATAATTTATAGGAAGTCAAAAGCCTTCATCTATTGAACCACCCTAAATTTTTCTTATGGCTGTTAAAAAGTATAAAGTTTATTTAATTGTATTTTCCTTTGTGCTTCAAAAAGGTATCCTAACTCTTGTACCTTAAGATTTCCACCGAGCTTTCTTAAAACGTAACTTTTATGAAGCAAGAAAGTTGTTTTAGAATCATTTACTAACTCTTTAATGACAATCATTTTAAGTTTTGACACAAAAAATGTGAGCAGTATATTTCAGAAAAAAATTTTAGTTGATCAGATTACTGTCAATTTTTAATGATGATTGCCCTAGGTAAATAGATTGTACTTTTTATTTCTTCTCACCCATCTTTTTCTTCTTAGTTTCAATTCCTGTGGCATGATAAGCACACCTACTTTCATCTCTTTAGTTTCCTTATGAATCACTAGTTTTTTCAGGTTTAGAGGGATCCTTCTTCCCTGCCTTTGACACACAGGATTAGTTCAGGGGCTTGCTACTGCTGCTAAGTCACTTCAGTCGTGTCCGACTCTGTGCAACCCCCATCCCTGGGATTCTCCAGGCAAGAACACTGGAGTGGTTTGCCATTTACTTCTCCAATGCATAAAAGTGAAAAGTGAAAGTGAAGTCACTCAGCCATGTCCGACTCTTCGCGACCCCATGGACTGCAGCCTACCAGGCTCCTCCATCCATGGGATTTTCCAGGCAAGAGTACTGGAGTGGGGTGCCATTGCCTTCTCCGAGTTCAGGGGCTTAAGTCAGTTTAAAATGAGCTTTTGCTCATTAAGGCTCCAGGTCATCAAGGCTTTTTTGTTTTAGTTTCCTTACCCTACAATGGCTGAATTTAGCACTTGGCTTTCAATATTATATAGTAAGAAATGACAAATTGCTTTTGACCATTTCTTAAGCCAAAATTCCTTACATTTAGATAATTAAAGGTTCATAAAATGAAGATTTACTATTTCTTCATTGTTTGCTAGTACAGCTATAGTTTGTTTTACTTGCAAGTTTATACATATCCCTAATGTTTTCAAGTGCCCTAATTGTTTATCTCTGGCTTCAAAGGCTTCTGGGAAAAGATATGCTTACCTCACACGTTTGTGTCTTCCCTCAGTGGTAACAGTCTAGGTTATCTCACAAAAACGTTATTATGGTGCCATGGCTGTTAGTTTTTAGTGAGTGCTAGATTTTCAACTAGATTCAGTTGAAAATATTTAGAATTTCCATCTCCTGAAAGTGGTAAAAATTAGCTGCAATAGCATAATTATCCTTTACCTAGATAGGAACACCTTTGCTTTGCTTTGCTAAGTCACTTCAGTCATATCCGACTCTGCAACCCTATGGACTGTAGCCCGCCAAGTTCTTCTATCCCTGGGATTCTCCAGGCAAGAATGCTGGAGGGGGTTGCCATTTCCTTCTCCAAGGAAACCATGCCACACAATAATGCTAACATTGTATCTATTTCTGTGAAAATGTAGCTGATGAAGCCTCTCATCTCTGTAATTTTGAATTCTGCTCTAACAGAATCATAATATGCCATTAGTTAGATTTTACAAGAGCCTTACAAAAGAACTCACAGCCTTTTCCCCTCTTCAGCAGTTTAGTATCTTGAGTTAGTAACAATGTGGGTTTTTGTTTTGTTTTGTTTTGTTTTAACTCTAGAAGCTATATAGAAACCTTTTCAGATTTTTCATCTGATTTATTCACACAGACTATAGTACAACTAAAATCCCTTATTCTACCTTACAGGCATTTGCTGCACAGGCAGACTGCTGCATACAGACATTTTTATTTCAGTTAATTAATAACTGCAGAACATATACTGAACTGATTTAAAATAAATCTACATGTTTGCTGGGAACAAAAGAAATCTGCTAATAAGTTCATACAAAGTATGTATTAGCATTCACATGAAATGGTCTTTCTAATGGAATTTTAGTGGTGTTTTCTATAACTGCTTCAAGAGCATTATGACGAGAAACACCAACCAGAAGGTAAATCTACCGTATTAAGGTAGCAGAAGCTCTCAGGTTAGATCAGACACTGTGTGTGAGTTTCCATGGACAGAAGGTGCTGGGATGTGGTTTCATGTATCTGGGAACAAACCACTGGTTGTTGGTGGGGACGGCAGCTGCTGAGTCAGAAGCATGTGGCACCACAGAGTCACAGGCACGAAAGACAGGATGAGCCTAAAGTCAGGACATGTGCTCTGTGGTCCCCACTCTGACAGCCCAGCTCCTGGGCTCTGATCTGGAGGGTGGACCCTCTGGTGGAGGTGCGCCTTCCTGAGTACCCCCATCCCTCGGGGTGGGAGCAGCTTCCTGCCTTTGATAACCCCTGGGTTGTCTCACGCACCACCATTTTGCCCGTACTGCTTTTTTCTCCCTCTTTTATCATCTGCGTAATTAATTCCCTGCATGGAACTCCCTCTCCCATGGTGGGGTTCTGTTTTCCTAACCAATCCTCACTGATACAGGAGGGTGTGCACAGAAGACCACGGAACCGGAGACCGGGGCGGGGGTGTGCATTTCATTTGGTAAAGGGGCTGCACTGGGTGTGTGATACTGACAACTTCTTGAGACCAGACCCTGTTGTTTTCTTGTTTGACTGAACCTTCCCTGGTGGCTCAGAGGTTAAAGCATCTGCCTGCAATGCGGGAGACCTGGGTTCCATCCCTGGGTCAGGAAGATCCCCTGGAGAAGGAACTGGCAACCCACTCCCGTATTCTTACCTGGAGAATCCCATGGATAGAGAAGCCTGGTGGGCTACAGTCCACGGGGTCGCAAAGAGTTGGATACAACTGAATGACTTCACTTTCACTTTCAACAAATAAACCAAGGGTTGGAAATCACCAGCTCTCCTAGTCAGCTTCCACACAGCGTAATGCTTTAACTAGGAATCACTGGTGCTCACTATGATCACCTGCTGTCTCCTCCTACCCTGGTTGCCACCAAAGTATTCAGAACCATCCAGAAGCTCAGGATGGGGGAGCCCCCGCTCTACCCCATAGCAAAGATCCAGATCATGGCCTCTCTGTGTATAATAAACTGGTCTGAAAATCAAGGTAAAAAATATACGCTGATTCCCCAAAGCCTCTTTAAAAACTAGTTGTGTATTTTTGAGATAACCCATATCACATTGCATCATTTTGTCTGTCCAATTCTGTAAATGCTAACATTACAAACGCATGGACTTTTAAGTTCAAAATGTGCTTATGCTTTGAAAGCTCTCTTGAAAATGAGACAGCAACATGTCAAATATCTTAGGTTGATTTTATAATTAATCTCTATTAGATAAAACATTAGTCTCTATTTTGAAAAATTTTGCAACATACTTTTAGTAAACGAGCAAGTCACATTTTACACCATGGGTAAAATCTAAAAATTCTCCAATAAATCTTAGTCACAGTTGTCTGTTAGCAGTCATGATCTTGGAATGGAAGATCTGTTACCTCATCCCAAAAAGCAGTGAAATCTTGCATGTCCACCATCACTTCACCATCTGACGGCAGCTGAGTGTTGACCTCTGGTATTTCATCAAGTAATAAAAAATTCTACAGAAACGAGAAAAAAAAACAGATTGTTAAACTGCAGAAAGTAAGCACAAACAAAAACAATTGCTTTCCTGGGATTTGCAAACTTTGAACAGTCTAAATACTGTTTTGCTAACTGTACTTAAAGTATTAGTTCACATAAGAACATATTATGCAATACATGAGACCCCAGTTCGATTCCTGGGTCTTCCTTCCTCTGCAGAAGGGTTAGTCTACCCACTCCAGTATTCTTGGGCTTCCCTTGTGGCTCAGCTGGTAAAGAATCCACCTGCAATGCAGGAGACCTGAGTTCAATCCCTGGGTTGGGAAGATGCCCTGGAGAAGGGAAAGGCTACCCATTCCAGTATTCTGGCCTGGAGAATTCCACGGACTGTATAGTCCATAGGGTTGCAAAGAGTTGGACACAACTGACCAACTTGAACTTTCACTCAGAACATATTAAATAATGTATGGAATAATATATTACATAATTACTATTATTACATACTTAATATTATTACAGCTCATGGTATATATCAATATAATCATATAATATAGTGTATTTGTTGTTGCTCAGTCACTAAGTTGTGTCTGACTCTTTGCAATCCCATGGATTGCAGCACTTCAGGATCCCCAGTCCATCACTATCTCCAAGAGTTTGCTCAGACTCATGTCTGTTGAATCAGTGATGCTATCCAACCATCTCATCCTCTCTTGTTCCCTTCTCCTCTTGACCTCAATCTTTCCCAGCATCGGGGTTTTTTCCAATGAGTTGGCTCTTGACATTATGTGGCCAAAGTATTGGAGCTTCAGCATCAGAACTTCCAATGAATACTCAGGGTTGATTTCCTTTAGGATTGGCTGGTTTGATCTCCTTGAAGTCCAAGGGGCTCTCAAGAATCTCCTCCAACACCACAGTTCAAAAGCATCAGTTCTTCAGTGCTCAGCCTTCTTTATGGTCCAACACTCACATCCATACACGACTACTGGAAAAACCATAGCTTTGACTATAGGGACTGTTGTTGTTAAAGTAATGCCTCTGCTTTTTAATACACTGTCTAGGATTGTCATAGCTTTTCTTCAACGAAGCAAGAGTCTTTGAATTTCATGGCTGCAATCAGCACCTGCAATGATTTTGGAGCCCAAGAAAAAAAAGTCTTTTTCTGTTTCTATTGTTTCCCCATCTATTGCCATGAAGTAATGGAACGAGATGGCCATGATTGTAGTTGTCTGAATGCTGAGTTTTAAGTCAGCTTTTTCACTCTCCTCTTTCACCTTCATCAAGAGGCTCATTAGTTCCTCTTCACTTTCTGCCACAAGGGTGGTGTCATCTGCATGTCTGACGTTACTGATATCTCTCCCAGCAATCGTGATTCCAGCTTGAGCTTCATCCAGCCCAACATTTCTCATGATGTACTCTGCATATAAGTTAAAAAAAAGCAAGGTTACAATATACAGGCTTCAGGTACTCCTTTCCCAATTTGGAACCAGTCCATTATTCCATGACCAGTTCTAACTGTTGCCTCTTGACTTGCATACAAGTTTGACAGGAGACAGGTAAGGTGGTTTGATATTCCCATCTCTTTCATGATTTTCCACAGTTTGTTGTGATCCACACAGTCAAAGGCTTTAGAGTAGTCAATGAAGCAGTAGCAGACGTTTTTCTGGAATTCTGTTTTTCTATGATCCAATGGATGCTAGAAATTTGATCTCTGGTTCCTCTGCCTTTTCTAAATCCAGCTTGTATATCTGGAACTTCTTGGTTCACATAATGGTGGCAATTACATAATTTGAAAAGAAGAGGGCAACTAGAGAGAAAGGATTAAGCAGTAAGTAAAGAGGGGCCAGGGATGAAAAGGCAGATGCAAAAGGTGGCTCAGCCATCAGCAATCAAAACATCTACGCAGGAAAGAACTCATTTTTGAACACAGAGAATTAAGTGAATCTGAGGCCACTCTTCCTCTCCAAGGAGCAGGGAGCTCTCAGCAAGTTCCTCCCCTCCTGGCCCAGAGAGGAATCCTATATCCCAGGACTGTGCATAGTCACTGCCTAGTCACTGGAGTTAGCACAGGAGATGCACTCTGTTTGCTTCTCCTGCTGTTAGACATTTTAATCACTCTGCAGGCATCACTACATTACAGCTCTGTGATACCGCTACTTATATATACTACTGCCCCTACACGTGAACCAGTCTTACGGTATCTGTAATGCACTCTACCTATGAAGAGAAGTGGGCACCTACAACATTCTGGGAAGACTGCCAGGTTTGGCACTGAGAGAGTTAAATATCACCTGACCGGAACACAGTGACACCAAACAAAAGGGCATTTTACAAAAAAATCCACCTACAACTGAAAACAATCATTTGTCCCCAAACCTTGATTCTTCAGATGCTGACGACGGCCTCTGACACCTTCTCGATGGCCATGGGGAAGTAGAGGGTGCTCGAGAACCGCAGAGCCTCGAACAACGTCACCACCACAAACACTCAGCTGGCTGTGATCAGGTTGTCAAGGAGGTCATTGGTGATGAAGGTGACAAAAATCATAATTTTGCTGACAGCAAAAAATGATGCCAAATTCATGCCCCTAAGGTAGGAACTTTTCAGAATCTTGGAAATTTCTTTCCTGAAAAAGAGAGTAGGAAAGAGATTTTAAAAGAAGCATCAACATTCAAGGCATGAATTCAAGTCCTCATATGGAGACACTTCACAGCACATGCCCGGGACTCCATCCCAACACCAGGACCACACGCTTCATCACCACTTCACTCTTCCAACTAAATAGAGGCTTCATGTCACCCTTTTAAACACTGTGGGTCAATTGGACTGGGTTTGAACATTCTTTCAACAAGCATTCAAAACCACAACTCTTGGGCCAGGCTCCCCACTAATGACAGAAAGACATAGCCTGTCCCCTCCAGAAGCTCATGAACTTGTGGGGGAAGAGAATAAGACACCCCAAAATTGTGAGGCACCAACACATTAGACAGATTAGGCAGGCACTGTGGCCCCTATGGAAGCACATGTACTGGCTATTGTAAATAGTGCTGCAATGAACATTGAGGCACATGTGTCTTTTTGAATTCTGGCTTTCTCAATGCATATGCCCAGTAGTGGGATGGCTGGGTCATATGCAGATTTATTCCTAGTTTTCTAAGGAATCTCCAGCCTGTTTTCCATAATAGCTATGTCAATTTGTACTCCTACCACAGTGCAGGAGGGTACTGTTTGTAGACTTTTTGTTGATGGCCATGCCTACCAGTGTGAGGTGATACTTCATTGTAGTCTTGATTTGTATTTCTCTAATAAAGAGTGATGTTGAGCATTTTTTCATGTGTTTATTGGCCATCTGTATGTCTTCAGAAGCATATATAATTTTCCCTTTAAGAAGATGGTAAATGGAACAGCAGGTTAAAATGACATCTCCCCTCTTCCACTTAACCCTCCTGCCACATGTGAGGTGTGGAGTTCATAGTATTTAAGCTCATCTTCATGTGAAAACTTGGTAAGACTTCTAATTTAAGTCAGTAAAAATAGGGGGGAAAGTACAAAAATATGGTGTGATATGTACAAAAACATACCTTCTCAATCTGGTAATAAGATCTATAAATGACTGTTCCCAAGCATACATTTTTACTGTTTTGATGCCAGTTATAACTTCACTCATGGTCCTGATCCTGTCATCTGTGAGAGCTACAGTCTCACTCCTGAGGGAACAGATGTGAGAGATGAGACTTAATGACCATAGCTCAACTTTCCATAGCAGCAGCAGCAGCAGGAGGGAGCACAGGGAGGGGCCAGGGATCAATGATTCCCGACAGCTCTTCTGTGCTGACATCACAGGCAGGTCCTTCTCAAAGTGCAAATGGAGAAAAAGACTTCTAGAAGTCAACCATTCAGCCTAATTCAAGGAGTGACTTGGAGAACTTGCAGAACTGGATGAAGAAGACTCGAAGTAAGTCAGGTAAAAACTCTCTGCCCAAGGAGGTTGCAGTTGGGCAGGGAAGGCAAAAACACATTGAATTTAACGGGAAGACAGTGTCTGTGCTGTGGTAAAATAGGAGAGAAGTTCTGGGGAGCAGAAAAAATGGGACTGTTAATTCTACCAGGAAAGCAGAACAAGAAGGAATTCAGAGACCTGGTAGCACTGGAACAGGGCCTTGAAGAACAAGGAACATCTCTTCACAGCAAACAGGAAAGGAAATTGCAAATACACAAAAACAGCACATGCAAAGTCACCAAAAAAAAAAGAAGAAGAAGAAAAATCTCAAGAAAAAAAAAAACTTCAAAGAGCACAATACCTCTATCACCTGACAACCTGGACAATGACCCACCTCCAACCCTCTGGGACCTGCCTCAGGTCTATCTTATCACCATTAGGTCCTTCATCACCAGTCACTATTCTGTCACATATTCTGCTGGGATTGTGGGGCTTTATAAAGACATAGATAATTAAGATTGACCTTGTCCTTGAGCCACTTATAAATTAATGGAAACACTGAACTAAAAACAAGACATGAAAATAGATACCTGAAAATTGCTCTAACATAACAAAAATACATGCAGCTAAATTTGAGCCTATGGATTATTACTACTTAATAAAGTTTACATAACATCAACATAGGTACATTCTGCTCAAGAACACTCCACTTATTCAGGTATGGTAGTGGGAGGAGCCAGTGAGTGCCATCTCCTTTCCCTCTTCAAAATCAGCCTTCAGCTTAAGGCTAGAGCCTCCACCTGCAAAGCCTGAAGGGTCTACAATGCACTCAAAGAAGAGATCAGAGAAGGCATTGGTTTTGATTTTGATCAGAAGCATTGAGCAGATGGTGCATGTTATTAAGCACATATCACCTATTTTTCAAACCAGTGTTTCTCTTACCGGAGTGATGAAAATAACATCCCGAAGCAGCTTTGCAAAAGCAGAAGAAGAATGAGAACTGTCATCCCGGCAAGACATGACATTATTATTTCCATCCAGAGCAGGGCAGTCACTGCGACAGCCTGCAGTGGCCCCACCCACAGATAGTGCAGGAACATCGTTACCTTAAAAGAGAAAGACAAAGCCTTCTTAGGACTGCGTACAATAAAACCAGTAAGGACACAGTGTAGAAACAATCGGCTCTGAAGGAACAGACAGGAATCTGAACAGAAATGATTTCAGTGAGTTTTACACCTGATGAAGCAGAAATCCAAGTGTCCACCCCAGATGACGCTGTTCTGGGGTGGCACAGGGCCGGCCTCAGGGACGTGCCAGCATCACTGATGGAAGATGTTGATTTTTGTCCACAACACAGATGAGCTCGGGGCTTCCCCAAACTCTCTGTCCCAAAATTCAGCCCCCATCTCCCCAGAAGAGCCTATAATATGGTAGCTACCATACTTTGTGATAACTGCTTGTGCATTTACCTTTCAGACAGTCTGTGACCTTTCCAGGGCAGAATTTAAGGCTTATTCATCCTTCAAATTAACTAGAGGTCTTACATCATGTTTGATGAATGAATAATTGAAGAAGAAGTGAAAGTGTTAGTCACTTAGTCATGTCCGACTCTTTGCGACCCCATGGATTATAGCCCACCAGGCTCCTCTGTCCATGAATTATCCTCGCATGATAACTGGAGCAGGGTGCCATTTCCTTCTCCAGGGAATGTTCCTGACCCAGGGATCAAACCCGGGCCTCCTTCATTGCAGGTGGGCTGTTTACCATCTGAGCTACCAGGTAAGCCCCCAAACTTAAAAGGCCAGGATCATCCAGGAAAGAGAACTGTTCTATGCAGATCTGGCCAACAGCTGTAACACCCTGGTAACATGATCTATTCATAAGGTAAGTGTGAAATGGGTATGATGGGACAGCAGAGAGGAGGTTGTGCATAGCTGGAGACTACCCACTTGGCATTATTCCTCAAAGGCTCCCTATGCAGCAGCACTGAACAGGGTGCAGGAGAAAGAACAATCCCTGCCCACCAGGCTTTCATCATCCAGAGGGAGGAAGACAATTGAGGCAGCAACACTGACACTGCATGCCAAGAAAGGCCACTGTGAAACTTCTATGGAGGACCCCTACGAACACTAACCAAGCTGTCCAAGAACACTGCTGCCTTGCTACTACTGACGTATATTGCAGACAATGTCAGAAAAACAAACTTCTCATCTACAGGACAAAACTATTTCACATCTAAGCTGTACACAGAGGAGATGAGCTTTGGATAAAGAGAACCCTTGTCTTATGTCCTCAACAGAACCGTGGCCTACACCAAACCCTGGTACCTGGCATCCCAATAAGCTAAATCCAGTAAGAAGAAGGATGGGAAATGGAAGAGGATCCCTCAGGGGCAGCTCACCTGATCAAACCTGCTCACATCGTTGGACAGCAGGTTGACTATCTGGCCTGTGGTGGTCTTCCCCATGGCCGAGCTACTCAGGCAAAGTGACTGAAATGAGAGAAAGATACAGAGAGTTGGATTCCTACAGTGATACCAAGTCAGCCTGATAACATAGCAAAATGGAGTGCATTTTCACGGGGTTTTGTGTGGTGTCAGGACAAGCAGGATGATGCCTGAAAGCAGGGATCTAGGGACCCATGTTCATCCTTAGACAATTCAATGTGGCGGCAGCCCTGCCTGCAAGGACAGCAAAGGGAGGAGCAAGAGACAGAAGCAAAACCCTCCACCCTGTTTCTCAGTGAACTTGGCCCTGCCCAAAGGATAAATGAATGTAGGTTTAGACTTAGGAGCCAACTAAGTAATTTTCAGCCAAAACCTAAACAGTATATTAAAAGCAGAGACATCATTATGCCAACAAAGGTCCATATAGTCAAAGCTATGTTCTTTCCAGTAGTCATGTACTGATGTGAGAGTCTGACTATAAAGAAAGCTAAGCACCGAAGAATTGATGTTTTTGAACTGTGGTGTTGGAGAAGACTCCTGGACAGCAATGAGATCCAACCAGTCCATCCTAAAGGAAAGCAGTCCTGAATATTCATGATGCTGACGCTGAAACTCCAATATTTGGCTGCCTGATGCAAAGAACTGACTCATTGGGAAAGACCCTGATGTGGGGAAAGATTGAAGGCAGGAGAAGAAGGGGACGACAGAGGATGAAACGGTTGGATGGCATCAGTAACTCAATGGACATGAGTTTGAGTAAATTCTGGGAGTTGGTGATGGACAGGGAGGCCTGGTGTGCTGCAGTCCAAAGAGGTCTCAAAGAGTCGGACATGACTGAGCAACTGAATTGAACTGAATTTGTGGGGAAATCTGAGTATTTGTCTATTAAATGGTAGAAGGTGCAAGAGAATAACAAAGATGATGATGACTGACAATGAAGATCCTTAACTAGAGGGTATGTCATGCAAGGAGAACCTGGACTCATGTGCCAAAGCCAAACACAGACAGTGAGATGCCAGGGCCATGAGTTCACAGTCCCAAGATCTGATAAGATTTTACTAAAGGAAAGATGGGGAGAACACATCCTACATTTTTCCCAGAAAAGTATTCCCAAGAAACAGGAGCTCTAGATAAGTAGCAAATAATAAGAAAAGCAATATTTTTCATTTAAATTTTTTGGTTTTAGCTTTCAATGAGGATTTTATTTGTAGTAAAAATTAAATATATTTAATATGTGCAATGTGATGTTTTGATATAAATAAACATTGGGAAACAGTTACAGTAGAAAAACAAATAAACATACGCCATCATCACATTTAGTTACCCTTTTGTATGTGTGGTGATAACACTTAAGATCTACTCTCTCTGCAAATTTCAACTATAAAAAACAGTTATATAATTTTTTTTCTAGAAAAATGTAAACAGCCCAGGGCAAAGAGACATCTAAGATCAAGTTTATAAAGAGCCCTTCAGTTCATAACACTGGTGTATCTGTGGCAATTCCTTTATAAAAACACCGAAAATCCTTATTTCTTTTAAACTAGTTAAGGCCAGGGTAAACTATGGAATAATTCTGTGGCATTTCTCATTACAAAATCACTGAACACATTAAATCAGGTCTTATTAAAAGTGCTAAAATGCATACTTAAGAAAAAAGAAACATTGAATTAATAACTTGAATGAATAGCAACAAATTCTCACCAAAATACTAAAAACAGTATCTGATTTCAAGTTTCATCCCAACATTCAGCTCTATTCTTTAATACCATTATAAACAATCATAACTATAGAATTAAGTGAACAAGTCTCATGTTTGGCATGGATTCCATTTATATTTTTCTTTAGTTCACACAATTATATTCAATAGGATTAGATGGGTCATTTTAAAATATAATCATTTCCTTTCTCAAATACATTTTTTGCTGCTAGATTTAATTTCATAAATCCAGTCACTGAAGTTTACTTTTAAATACAACTTCAATGTAAAAGAAGGTTTCAATGAACAACAAAAGTTCCACAAAATACAGCTATGAGATTTAAGTATGAAAACATTGAAAACCAATTTGATAATAAGAATCCATTACAAGCTGAGTGGATATTATGCAACATTATCAAAGGCAGCTCTGACCCAATCTCAACACAAAACTTTTCATTATTTACTGGTAAAATTTGCTTAAATGAAAACAACAACAAAATTGGCCTGATGCAAATAGCAAGTCTCTCTAGGAAGGTGTAAATGATCCCAGTTACAAATTTTTAGTTTACAGAGAACTTTCCCAAAATACTTCTGATGCTCACGGGACGTACACACCGTGGTACCGAGTGACACTCACCTTGCGGTAGATCATATGGCACAGGCTACTCTCAGCCTCATCCCCACACGCTGAATGTGGCAGAAGTAAAGGTGGTACAGAACAGCCCACACAAGCACGCAGGCACTCAGCCCTGCCTCGTAGCCGTAGGCTTCGTGCAAAGCAGCAGAATTGGCAGGATCACAGTTTTCAACATAACTAACCATTTTCCCGTAAAAGATGGGTTGAACTACTTTGGTGCCTTCCTGAAAGAAAGAAGAAAAAAATCTTAATTAGAAATACAAGTGATGCCAGTTTTTCTTAACACAAGTTTTACTTTTATTATTAGCATGTTAAAAAGGCATCTTGAGAAAATGCTACATTCATGGCTAATCTAAAAGAAAAATACACAGATCCACTATCTCAAAGAAGTCACGCAGACAACAGTGCTAGTTTTAACGTAAGCCAAAATCTTACATTCAAAGACAATAAAGCTTTAGTATTGGGTTGGCCAAAAAGTTCTTTTGGTTTTTAAGTAAAAATAAAAGGCACATTTTTCATTTTCACAAAGAACTTTGTTGAACAGCCTTTTCAAACTTCTGTTCCATTACCTTCTTCCATTTTTCAGGCAATTTCCTAATTCCATCTTCCCAAATCTTTGTATCTTTTTGAGGAAAACTTTGTATCTATTTCCGGTACCTTTTACAGTCTTCCAGAGAATTAAAATTTTCTTCCAGTAAGAGAATTTTGTAAAAAACAAAATAAATGGAAATATGAAAGTGCAATGTCTGGTAAATACGCAAGATGAGTTAGATCCTCCAGGACAGGCTGTAAGTTTCTGCCTGGTCATCAAAGAAACATGAGGTTTTACATTATCCTGATGGAAGATAATGCATTTTCTGTTGACTAATTTCAGACACTTTCCATCAAGTGATGCTTTAAGTTGATCTAATTGGGAGAAGTACTCATTGGACTTAACTGTTTGGTTTTCCAGAAGAAGCTCATAATAGAGGACTCACTTTCAGTCCCACAGTATACATAACATCAGCTTCTCTGGATGAAGACTGGACTTTGGCGTGGTTGGTGGTGGTTCATTTCACTTACCCCATGATCTCTTCCATTCCACATTGGTGTACAGTATCCACTTTTCAAAGCCCATCACAATTTGTTTTTAAAAAGGAGCATTTTATTAATAGTTACATTTCAGTAGGTAATTGAGTGTGGCCATATGGTCAAGAAGGGTTCCCCCCCACCCTGCTTAACTTAGGTGGAAGCCAAATAACAAAGTGATTAACATAAACCAAATGGTAAAATGATTTTCAATGGGTTTTTTGGGATATTTTGAGTATGTTGGCTATCTCCCACATGATATAACATTGATTGTTCTCAATCAATGTCTGGATTTGATCTCTATCAACTTCTACTATCAACTGGTCTACTCAACTGTGGAACATCATCCACCAAGAAACCTCCAGCACAAAACTTTTTTTTTTTTTTTTTTTGGCTGTGTTGAGTCTTCGTTGCAGTGCGCAGGCTTCTCTAGTTGGGAACTGCCAGTTTAGTTGCCCTGAGGCATGTAATATCTTACTCTCATGGCCAGAGATCAAACTCGTGACACCTGCATTGAAAGGCAGACTCTTAGGACCACCAGGGAAGTTCCCAGATGGGTTTTCTTTTGAGAGCTCTCTACTGTCTCTAAAAAGTTGAGGCACCCACACACACAAGAGGAAGGAAGGAGAATCTAAAGCCCAAAATGTGAAGCATAACTAAAAAGCATTTTCTGCTCAACCAGCTAGTGCCTGCTCAAATTATTTACAGAAAGCTGACCCCATCTCTCAAATATATGAGACACTGAAGCCCTACACTCCTGTCTTGCTCTACACACACATGTTCACAGGCTGTTACACCTGCCTTACCTTCCACATGGTCACAGGAGATTTCATCTACTCCAGAGAAGAGACCATGTAGTGGAAGAATTATGAGTAAGATGACCATATCAGAGTAAGATGATCAGTTTTCAAGAACACAAAGGCTCACTGTTACATTTCCAGAAAGCCCCATCATTCACCCCTAGAGGTGCTAAAAGCTTAAGAAGAACCCCTCACATCATAGGTTATAAAACATACTGTTTATAGAGTTTACTGAGATAGAAGTCTGGAGGCTTAAACAGAGAAGCGAGAATGTCAAACTACACAAGGCAGTCCCAGCCCAGATATGATCAAGGGAAGCCCAGTGCTGCAGGCTACAAACCTGGGGCTCTCCACCAGAAGCCCAGCAGTAATACCTGCCATCCCAAAGTGTCCTAAAACTGTGATTCTCTTTGGGAATCACTGCTGACTGTTACCCAGCTCTCTATTTGGTCCTAATATCATTGTAATTACAGGAAAAGTAAGAGTAATGTCACCTACTTAAAGAACACGGTAAATGCAACAAATCCAGCAAAAAAAAAAAAAAATATTGCAACATAAAGGCAGGTCATTGTTGCCTAAATGTCTCGATTTTTCTGCTGAGAGAAAGAATTTAATATGCCAGTTGAGCAAACAGCCTCACGAAGCAGTAATGCCAGTCCAGGGCCTGTAGCTTCTACTCTTCTGTCTGTTTAATTCTAACCCTCAATTAGTGAGGTAAAAAACAACTGAGAAGGTATTCACTATCAAACTTGAAAGTGGGGGCTCTCCTGATAGCTCAGTAGGTAAAGAATCCACCCGCAATGAGGAGACCACTGTTTGATTCCTGGGTCAAGAAGATCCGCTGGAGAAGGGAAAGGCTACCCATTCCAGTATTCTGGCCTGGAGAATTCCACGGACTATACAGTCTATGGGGGTCGCAAAGAGTCAGACACAATTGAGTGACTTTCACAAACTTGAAACTAACCAAATTAAAACTTTCTGGATAAGCAGGGAAAAGATCAAAAATTGTTCCCAAAACCCTTCATCTTTGATGTCAATCTAAGTTTGATCTGTGAATATTCTTTCCATAAACCAATTGAGAACAGAGTTCTTACTCCTTCACAGGAATTCTTCACAACTGTGAAATCATAAAAGATTTTTAAAAGAGTCCAGCAATATAACAACATTCATTCACAGGAATCTCAGGGTATGAGAGAGATAGACAGACATTTCTTGGTGCAGTCCCTGGTATTCAACCTTCTGAAAGTACTTGACTTTGGGACCCCATTTCCTGCTTCATAGCGGAACTTCTCAGAGGGTTAAGTGCTAAAATTTCCCTAGTCAGTACAGTTTCTCTGTTATATTTCTACATGTACTTAAAAGGTTTCTTACCCAACTCCATCATCTCCACTTCATGAGAAAAATTAAGAAAACACAGAAAATAGAAACAAGCTATCAAAGAAAAAAATGCTTGAGTGAAATATATAAGCATAAAAGAATGAGCTTATGGAAAAAATGAATAGACAGTTTTATCTTCAGAAATGGGGGAACAGGTGACAGAGTAAACTGAGAAAGATCCAGAGCTAAGGAGGAAAAGCAGTGAATCTGGGAAAATAACAGCCATTAGGATTCTCAATATAACTTCACTCCTCCTGACACAGTGGTCTTCATCCTGACTGCAGCTTAGCATCACCTGGGAGGGGTTAGAAGCACTCTAAGGACTGAAACCCAGCCTCCAGAAACTGATTTAGGTTCAAATGATTAGGGATGGAGCCTGAAGTTCCCTCTCCCTAGAAGGTGCTGGTTGCAGAAACTAATCCCATGTAAGCATCTGCTATTCTGCATCATCAGGGCATCTGGACGTGGAGGGGCCATGAACCTGCTCTGAAGGACTTACAAGTGACACAGAGGATTTTAACCAGAGTTCCATGTTACATATCATGCTTTTAGGAAAATTCCTTATGAAACCAAACTCTTGAGACTCCAATGATGAAATTCAGACCTTTCATTTGACACTACAGAAAAAATTAAATGTTTATAAAATACTATATCTGCAAAATAAAAACATGAATCAAACTTTGTAATGTTACCTCTAAAAGGGGAGTGTGAATTAGAATGGAGCCAGCAAGGATATCAGTATTCCTTAAAAACAGCCTCTTCTGTTTACTGAGTTTGAAATTGTGAAAACATTATCAGTTCAGTTCAGTCACTCAGTTGTGTCTGACTCTTTGTAACCCCATGGACCACAGCACACCAGGCCTCCCTGTCCATCACCAACTCCCGAAGTCTACTCAAAATTATCTCCTTTTGGCATTGGTGATGCCATCCAACCATCTCATCCTCTGTTGTCCCCTTGTCCTCCTGCCTTCAATCATTCCCAGCAAAACATTATACAGAATTATAACTACATGTAAATCCATGGCTGATTCACGTCAATGTGTGGCAAAAACCACTACAATATTGTAATTAGCCTCCAACTAATAAAAATAAAGAAGAAAAATTAAAAAGAAAAAAAAAACAATAAAGTTTTCAAAAGCAATTCCTAAAATTTCAGAGTAAAATAAAACAAAAGTTGTATCCATCCGGTAGGCTGACAGAGTTATAAAAAAAGAATTAAAAGTGGTTGTAAAAAAATAATTTGAAAACACATTCCCTGTGTGATATGCCTAAGGACAATATGAACAACAACAACAACAACAACAAAGCTTCGAAAAGTCACGTTATGGTTAATAGTGTCGATACTATAAGATTTTTAAATGAGTAATTATATTTATATCACTGAGAACTGGGATTAGGCATGGCAGAAAAGAGAACAGATGATGAAAGAAAACAGATACCAATCTAAGAGTTAAAAGATGAAGCAAAAGCACTACTGTCCTGAATCTGATTTAAATTGAAAATACCCATATAAACTCAAGGTTTGTTTACTACAAAAAATGTATACTAGCTTTGTCCAATGACAAAGCTGAGAAACAATAGCCAATTCAACAGCAATGAGCACCCCTAGTGCCCAGACCATAGTCTCTAAACACCATTTCCCACTAGAAGGAGCCATGGCTGCTTGGAGACAATGGAGATTCCAGGGCTGAGGCAAATTTGTACTTAAGGCTGCACAGCTTTTTTCTGTGTAAAGATAAGCTAGAAACATCTTGTCACATCAGAAAGCAAAAAATTAACAAGGATTTCTACAGTATGCACAAAAGACAGGAGTCCTGGGAAGAGATGCATTCTATCCTTAATGGCAGAGGCTGGTTGCACAAAGGGCTTAGAAAGCTCATTGCTGTTTACAGGCCATTATGGTAGAATGAGATCTCTTGAGAAAAGTCACTTCTAAAAGCCAACTTTTCTGGAATGTAATTAAAAGTTTCACTTCTAAG